TTGTACTGGAACCGACAGAGTCAATGGAACAAAGATAAACAAACATAGACAGACATACAGACACAGACAGACAGACAGACAGACAGACAGACAGACAGACAGACAGACAGACAGACAGACAGACAGACAGACAGACAGACAGACAGACAGACAGACAGACAGACAGACAGACAGACAGACAGACAGACAGACAGACAGACAGACAGACAGACAGACAGACAGACAGACAGACAGACAGACAGACAGACAGACAGACAGACAGACAGACAGACAGACAGACAGACAGACAGACAGACAGACAGACAGGCAGGCAGGCAGGCAGGCAGGCAGGCAGGCAGGCAGGCAGGTAGGCAGGCAGGTAGGCAGGTAGGTAGGTAGGTAGGTAGGTAGGTAGGTAGGTAGGTAGGTAGGTAGGTAGATAGGTAGGTAGATAGATAGATAGATAGATAGATAGATAGATAGATAGATAGATAGATAGATAGATAGATAGATAGATAGATAGATAGATAGATAGATAGATAGATAGATAGATAGATAGATAGATAGATAGATAGATAGATAGATAGATAGATAGATAGATAGATAGATAGATAGATAGATAGATAGATAGATAGATAGATAGATAGATAGATAGATAGATAGATAGATAGATAGATAGATAGATAGATAGATAGATAGATAGATAGATAGATAGATAGATAGATAGATAGATAGATAGATAGATAGATAGATAGATAGATAGATAGATAGATAGATAGATAGATAGATAGATAGATAGATAGATAGATAGATAAATAGATAGATAGATAGATAGAAATTATAGAGTGAAAGCAAAAACGTTGGATTGAAAGGAGTAAAAATCTGATATTGCAGAACAAATATTTAAATAATAGCGGTGGTAGATAGGGTTCATGTAATAACTGGTTGGGGGAGGGGGGTTGTGTTTTACGTAAACTGTTTGGTGCTGAAAGAGTTACCGGCGAAAATGGAAAATGATGACTGACTGGTCATCCATTTATATTGCAACTGTAACAGTTTAATTGCAATTCCTGTTCACGTGATGTGATTATCCGAATCGATGACTATGTGGAGAGGCAGAAAACGTGCGCAGAAGATGTGCACCATTCGGTGGTGAATTAATGTATGACAAGCTAGATGTTGTGAGGGCCCTTTAGAAGAGAGTGAACAGTGCGGAGACACAAATAGATTATTACGGTCAGAGGAGAATGGAGGAGTTACCAGGGGATCTGGCCGACGCTCAACACTCAGAGAAAGGCGAGACGAATGTACAATCAAACAGTTACTGGTACCATCGGAATTGAAACTCTTCGCTTACTGTTGAAAATGGGGACGCAGCGCTTATGGGGGTGTCCCGAGTGCTTTGATGACGTTTCTTTGTTCAATATTCAACTCTAAATGGCCTCTCTCTCTCTCTCTCTCTCTCTCTCTCTCTCTCTCTCTCTCTCTCTCTCTCTCTCTCTCTCTCTCTCTCTCTTGTTGTACCCCACCAGGACACCACACAAGCGATAAACCCCCTTAGACAAAAAAGTGCCACCATGCGGATGAGGATCACCCGTGGAGAGGTCCCAGAAACCCCTTTCAGCCATCAGGCTATATTTATGGCCCGGCTATATTTAGGGCCCCCGGGTAACGCCAAGGAAAATAACGAAAAAATTGCATCCTACATGGAGACTACTAACTACAACTACAAAACAAATAACCCAACCATTGCCGTCTATTAGCTCTCGTTGGCTACTAGTAATTAGTGGCGGTTTACACAATATTATTATTACTATTATTATGAGAAGGCAGTGTGCCAAATGCTCAGGAATATATATGTTAACTGACTTTGTTTTTCAACAAATCCTTAAGGAAGTGTTTTCCAATAGGCGCGTTTATGTAACATATATTTTCATGCTCTGGATAATAGTTAACCAACCGTGAGTGTAATTTTCAGCTACAGGAAATCCAATAGCATGAACCAGTTTAGCTGTATGTAATGTTGTACATTAAAAAAAAAAAAACTTCCACGTATTTTATGCCTTTCTTCGTGCAAGACAAGACTAATAATGTATCTTTTGTTTCGTTAAAACTGTGACATTATTCCCTTCGTTAATATTGTGTTCCAAACGAGCTCACAGTTTTCCTCATTTAACATAGTTAGTTAATCAACAGTTTTCCTCATTTAACATAGTTAGTCAACAGTTTTCCTCATTGCACATAGTTAGTTGATCAACAGTTTTCCTCATTTAACATAGTTAGTTAATCAACAGTTTTCCTCATTTAACATAGTTAGTTAATCAACAGTTTTCCTCATTTAACATAGTTAGTTAATCACAGTTTCCTCATTGCCATAGTTAGTTTGATCAACAGTTTTCCTCATTTAACATAGTTAGTTGATCAACAGTTTTCCTCATTTAACATAGTTAGTGGATCAACCGTTTTCCTCATTTAACATAGTTAGTTGATCAACAGTTTTCCTCATTTAACATAGTTAGTTAATCAACAGTTTTCCTCATTTAACATAGCTAGTTAATCAACAGTTTTCCTCATTTAACATAGCTAATCAACAGTTTTCCTCATTTAACCTAGTTAGTTAATCAACAGTTTTCCTCATCGCGATTTAACATAGTTTAGTGTAATCAACAGTTTTCCTCATTTATCATTTAACCTAGTTAGTTGATCAACAGTTTCTCGTCATTTAACATAGTTAGTTAATCAACAGTTTTCCTCATTTAACATAGTTAGTTGATCAACAGTTTTCATCATTTAACATAGTTAGTTAATCAACAGTTTTTCCTCATTTAACATAGTTAGTTGATCAACAGTTTTTAGTTACTCATTTAACATAGTTAGTTGATCAACAGTTTTCCTCATTTAACATAGTTAGTTAATCAACAGTTTTCCTCATTTAACATAGTTAGTTAATCAACAGTTTTCCTCATTTAACATAGTTAGTTAATCAACAGTTTTCCTCATTTAACATAGTTAGTTAATCAACAGTTTTCCTCATTTAACATAGTTAGTTGATCAGCAGTTTTCCTCATTTAACTTAGTTAGTTAATCAACAGTTTTCCTCATTTAACATAGTTAGTTAATCAACAGTTTTCCTCATTTAACATAGTTAGTTAATCAACAGTTTTCCTCATTGCACATAGTTAATCAACAGTTTTCCTCATTTAACATAGTTAGTTAATCAACAGTTTTCCTCATTTAACATAGTTAGTTAATCAACAGTTTTTCTCATTTAACATAGTTAGTTAATCAACAGTTTTCCTCATTTAACATAGTTAGTTAATCAACAGTTTTCCTCATTGCACATTGGACAAGTCCATAAACTCTAGGGTCCCATCTTTATTTTCTCTATCAGTGTGTGGCTGCTGATTACACCAGTTCTGTGTTGATTTAGTCATCTTCTTTGACTACTTTCCCCATGTCTGGTAAAACCTCTTTTGTCCTAAAGTTCTTGTATAATGTATACTTTTGAATGTTGTCGACTTTTGAATCATTTATTCGTTCAACTTTGGGAACAGTCCATTGCTTGTCGTGCACCTACTATGGCCCTGTCAGCAAGCTAATCAGCTCGTTCATTCCCTCCTACACTGGTACACAAAATGAAACTGATTTCTGTCTGACGCGATTTTACTAGTGAATCCAACCACTGTTTTCGACCCCGTTCTGTCTCGACCTTCTTAAGCATGCTGTTGGAATCACTCGGAAAGCACACATGGGGAAAATGATGAGTCTCTAGCCAAACTATTCCTTTTGTTACTGCCATCACCTATATAGTCAGACTACTTGCAGTCGAGGCAAAAGCAACGCCTGTTGTTTTTTGTTGGTTATTTTAAAAAAAAAACATTACGTACTCAGGCCTCAATCTCTTTCATGGCGCCACTCTTGCACAGCTGTCCGAAAACCATGAGTTGTCTAATAAACCGTCCAGCGAGGAAATCTAACTTTAGTAACTCGACGATCATGACATTTTAAAATTCAGTCACTTACTTCGAATCAACACAGCTACGGATTAATTAAATACCTCTTTGTTGAACTTATTATTATTTGTGCGTGAGCGCACGCACTGTCGTGTGTGTTTACTAATTTACCCCGGTCAATACCAAGCAGATATAGCATATATCGTCCTAACCTAAGAATGTGTTACTAATACAAGCTCAAGAATATGAATATGACATTAGGACATATCAGATAGTCGAGTGATAAGTTAATGCTTGCTTGGTTATCTTTTTTTTAAAGGCGCATATTCTGCCTCTGATGTACATATTGGTGTTGAATGAGATTGGAAAGGACAAAATGAGAGAGATCGAATGAGTTATTGTTACGATAACGATAGAACTGGCGGATATATGTTTGTCTGTGCGCGCGCGCGTGCGTGCGTGAAAGGCGGAAGACTGGGCGCACCTCACTGGTCTTTATGTAGGCGTCCCTAGGTCAGGTCTGCTTTGCGTTATGTTGAACATTTTTTTTTTTGGGGGGGTGGGGGGGGGTGGTCCTTTGTTCTTTAATAAAAAGAACGTAAATATTGACAACAATTCTGTCGAAGGTAGTGGACAGGATCTCTGACAGTTACCTAGAGCATAGTGAATATTTGAACCATTTCAGACCCAATACATTATTATTTCCTGCAATACAATGCTGGCGAGCTGCCGTGGTCTAAAGGCTAGACACTCGCCTGTGGATCGGAACGTCGTTGGTTCAGATCTAGACAGGGGCCCGGGCCTTTTTTTTAGAATGACATTGGCTCTTAGGTCGATCCAGTCTTGAGTGGGTACTAGGTGCCGTAAAGGGCCAAATGGGAAGTAAACTGGGAGGCAGGACGGCCCCCCCCCCCCCACCAAAAAAATATTTTTCTTCTATGTGATGTGATGCCTAAACCAAGTGCTGTTTGGGGACTCTAAATGTTAGGACAAAATCCTTTCCTTTTTATTAGTCTGCACAACGTTGAGATATCTCAAGACAATAACTTCTCTATTTTGTTATTGCAGGCGTGAAACCCTACAAATGCAGCCAGTGCGAGAAAGCCTTCACACAGCGATGCTCTTTGGAGTCACACGGCCGGAAAATCCACGGACAGGCCGAACAGCTAGCTTTCAACGAGAGAAGAGAGGGCCAAACTGTACGTGTGCGAGGTCTGCGGACACTCCACGGATCTGGCCGATGAACATTACGCCCACAACCGGCACGTGCATCCTTCGTCTCAGCTGAAGCGACGGGTCAATCTCTTCAATTCATTAGCAACCAAGTAGAAACACATGACGTGATATGGTGTATGTGTCGTCTGAGGTTGGCTGTTTCTTTTGGGGTCATACTCAAGACTCGCTGCGTCACCTCTTTAAAGGAAAAAAAGGGTCGTATTCAGACTAGTGACCGGGTAAAACAGATTTCGCCAACATGTGTTAAAAGTTTCTCGTTGTAAGGAAACACGGAGATGTGTCCCTGCTACTAAGCAAAAAATGCTGAGCGTTGTACTTCCACACTCAACTGTCTATTACCAAAGAAACAAGCTAGCCTGTTCCAGCCTAAAAGAAGGCAAAGATGTATATTGCACTTGGAGATAGGGACTGCATGATAGCTTTCATCAAGTCTACTGGCCTTTACGTATAAATCTGCTGACAGAAGGAAGAAAAGAAAGAAGAAGACACTACCCCACCCACCCGCCTCCAGTATACATGATGTATGTGGCAACTGCACTAGCTTTAGGCTTAATTTCTCAAGATCATGGCCACCATTATCCTACACAGCTCTAAAAAGTGGTACCCCGGACAGTCATTTTTTTTTTAAATTAATACTGTTGAAGGGGTTGTCTGAGATCTCCTCCTGTTGGATTCGCATTCGAAAAGTGGCTTTTAAGTCATTTGGTGTCAGTTTGTGAAGCTGCAAACCTGGAGGAAGGGTGTGGTAATAAAAGTATGGGATTCATGTAGACAGTTGGTGAAGCAACATTTTCCGATCCTATATATAGGGAACGTGATTTATGAGTTAATTCACAAAGCTTTGGCATCAAAGTCGTGCAGACAGAGGCCTATAGTGTGAGTGTGATAATAAAATGAGAGAGACAGAGAAACATGGTAAGCGTTTGAGAATAATCTGGTGGAAGTAATAGATATAAAGTAATAATAATTAAGGCCAACGGGTCTTCCTAGTTACGGTCGCCATCTCCACAGGCCGTGAGATCCATTGTTCACTGTGGCACCATGTAACATTATCGTCTGAAAAGACTAAAAGATGCCAAGGACAACCCCGGGGGAGAGACACATGGTAGAGGCTTGAGATCAAAGTAAAATATACATTAGTCAGGGTTAAGGGACACTGATAAAAAATAGTGAAACAGAGATTGAGAGTAAAGAGATGGAATAGATATTCGATAGGGATTTCTTCTTCTTACAGTCCATACCGAGTGACGTTGGTAGTCATGTCTATCCAAAACCTTCTGTCTCGTGTACTTTCGATCAGTTCTGACACAGATAATCCCCCCCCCCCCCCTCCCATGCCCCGTTAAACTGTTCACAATGTCCCCACTGTCATGAAGTACTTCCGGTCTTCTCCTTCTCACGAAACGACCAAAGACAACTGACATTGTCTCAATCTGATGTGGGCAGTCCGTTATCTTCGAGAGTCAGTTTCTTTCATAAAAGCTTTACTTTTTTTTTTCTATCTATCCGAGGTATTTTCATCATTCGTCTATAAAACCCCTTCTTCGCCGATTCCAAATAATTTGTCATTAATCGTCCAACTGTCCATGATTCGCTTTTGTATATCAGGATGAGATTTATAAAGCTTTTGTTATGTTAGGGATTTAGACACACTATTAAACATAAAATTACAGGCTTATGTTGAGGGTTTGAAAACAAACTGATAATATAAACATTCGGTAGGGATTAAGGTACATAGATGTTTCTTTTTTTTTTTTTTAATAGAGCTAAGAGGGGTTTGAGCGCAAATTGTTGGAATAATTTTTATAGAGCTAGATACATGGAGAAAGAGAGAGAGAGAGAGAGAGAGAGAGAGAGAGAGAGAGAGAGAGAGAGAGAGAGAGAGAGATAGAGGGAGAGACAGAGTAAGAGAGAGAGAAAGAGAGAGACAGAGAGAGAAACAGAGAGAGAAAGATAAAGAGAGAGAGTAGTGGATTCTGCAACAAAATGAATAAAGCTAGCGAATCAACTGACAGGAGGAAAGGGACCAAACCAGGAACTGGGGCCGAACTACCTAATCTTTGTTTGACTGCTGTATTATTTCAATAAAGATCAAATATATCCTTAGATCGCATCATTATATAGTCTTTCAACTTCATCTTTTAACTGTTCGTTCCCAGCTGTTAAATGAATTTCTTCTACCTCAAGAGGTTAAAATAAAAAGCTGGTCTGAAAAAGTTCAACACAGACATTATGGGACAGAAGTAAGTACAGTGGAACCTCGCTTAACTCGTTTTGCGAAACAATTTCTCTCATATAAACAAATGTAAAATACGATAATGCGTTCCATGTCGAAAAATCAATACTCACAAAATGCTATGTATAACGTTTATACAAAGAAAATTATATACATATTGTTAGGGAGAGTGAATCATCTTCATCTTTTCTTCAAACGCGGAACGAACCCACCTGAAATGCGAATTCAATTTGCAGAAAAAAAAATCGAAATAATTATGATACATAGCTAATTATTTTATTTTTTTACTTGAAAGATGCCCAGAGATATTTGTTTTTGCCGACGCTTCAACGTTTAGCGAAAATGCGACACAGCATTATCAATAAATAAATTTGCAACGCGCATAGCCACTTCCTTATTAGGGTGATGTTTCTCAATATAAGATGCAACAGTTTGCCATGCTTTCATCATTTGTCTTATTTCGTCAGAAGATTTTTGCTTTTCTGTTACCTCCTCCTCTGACAAACTTTCCTCTAAAACTTCTTGCTGTGAAACACAATGCAACTCCATAAGCTCTTCGGTGGTCAGATCTTGGCTGTGCTCTTCCACAAGCTCTTCGATACCACTGTTATCCATCTACAATCCCATGATAGTGGCCAAAGACACAATCTCGTTGACTACAGGTTTCAGAGGTACTGTCTCGAACGCCTTAAAGTCACAAATCGACAACTCTCTCCGGCCAAAGCTTCTTCCAAGCAGAAGTTAGGGTTCTCTTGGCAACACCTTCCCCCGCCTTGTCGATAATCTTGAGGCAGGCAACGATGTGGGAGTGATGTTTCCAAAACTCTTTAAGAGTGAGGTTGGTCCCTTCAGTCACCCAAAAACAATGCTCGAAGAGTGCTTTAGTGTAGAGCTTCTTAAAGTTAGAAATAACCTGCTGGTCCATGTGCTGGAGTAACGGGGTTGGTGGTGTTGGGAGGCAGAAACTGGATCTTGATGAACTTAAATTCTTCAGAGAGGTCATCTTGTAGGCCTGAAGGATTCATGTACATATATCACAAAAAAACACAAGTTTGAGAAGGTCACTACTACTGTTATATTATTGTTTTAAAAGTAGTACACTGAGGATATTTCTCCCTCGGCATCTCCTACGAAACCTTCTTTGGGCATTAATAGAGTATTAAAAGAGTTAACAAGCGTAGGCCTTATATTTTACTGATTGATGATTTTTCTTCCAGCTTATGCATTTAAATGTGTGCATGCCTTACAAGCCAAGCATCAAACACTGCAGGTCAGGTTTAAACTGTCTTGATATAGTCAAAGACAGAGGAACAAGGATAAAGAAACAAAAGTTTAGTTACGTATATTTTGGAGGATGTTGCTGATTGTAATGTTACTAGGCAATTTTAAGTTCAGTTTTGCCGTTGCGTACTCAGTGGGCATATTCAGATCCCACTGTCGAAATCACCGCAAAGCCGACTGCTATCAAATAGCCTGCATCTGTGATCAAACACGACACCTCGGAGTTATAAATGCTGTCAATCAAGCAAAGGATCGCAAACTGTTCCTCCCCACAACACTTAACGGCAGAAGTGGAAATTGATGATGATGACTACTATTACTAACAGGCATTTGAAAAAACCTAAGCTCCTTGAAGACTACAGTGCGCATATTAGTTGCGACCACAAACACCTGAGCACATTCTGTAAGCTTTCCCACTCTGCTGAAAACTATGAAGAGAAACCTGGCCTCAAAAGCGAAGTGTGCAGAGCCAGATGAGGGGAATCAGGAAGGACCTGCAACTAACATGAGAATTCATAGGCAGCTCCCGCTGATTATCTGGCATGAGCATACGAAACCAACGCAAAGAGCACCCCGATCCCCTTTATCGTGTTTTCTTCGTGCAAGCACATCACAAACTAATCCAAATTTAAAGACCTGATTCCTTCACCCCTTATACAAATAGATGTCGGAGAAAGAAAAAAGAGGGTGGAGTAACGGGGATGCCAAGGAACAGATATTGCTAGAAAACGCTGACTAGTAAGGGCAGCCGTTAGATAAAATTGCTCCATTAAGACTGCTATTTGTTAAAATGCTTCAAAAATATATTTACAGTATAGAACGGTCACGGCTTTTAGTCACTTATAACAAATATTTGACGGATCTGTTTAAATGTTCATAACTATTATGCTGATCTGTGTGCAAATTTGCTACCGGAGATTTGTCTATCACGCCTACTCAGTAAAACTTGCAGAGCAATCATGATTTTCAGGTTGGCTGAAAATTTGCAAATAATAAAATATTGATTCAAAAATGACTGAGAAAATAAGCAAATATTTGCTTTTGGGAAAATGTCCTTTCAGTTAGAAGGGATTTACCGAAATTTGCGTTATGTATGTATCTGTGTGACGGTAGTGGCGCTGTGAACGGTTTATGTGGGGTTTAATGTTACAATGACTAGGGTAACTGGGGTGGGAGAAGGATGAAGAAGCAGAAGCAGAAGAAGAAGAAGAAGAAGAAGAAGAAGAAGAAGAAGAAGAAGAAGAAGAAGAAGAAGAAGAAGAAGAAGAAGAAGAAGAAGAAGAAGAAGAAGAAGAAGAAGAAGAAGAAGAAATGGTAGAACGAAGAAGGAAGAGAAAAAGGGGTAGGACAATAAGACTAAGAAGGATAAGGAGGAGAAGAAGAAGAAGAACCAGAGTAAAATAAAAAGGAAGAAGAAGAGGAACAAGACGAAGAAGTAGAAAAAGAAGGAAAAAAAGGGAGAGAAGAAGAACTTTATAAAAGGGAACACGTAGAGACAACAAGATGTTTCGACACCAGTCTTCATAAAGGAACAGGAATACTTTATGATTACTTGTTTCTTATTCTTCAGCAATCA